CTGGACTTGTGGACCAACGCAACCGATCCATTTCAACTTGCCACCATCAACGATGACCTGATCCTACCTCACTAGTCCCTCCCTGATATTTTTGTTTATTTGTTAAAAAAAAATTGTTAATGTTTCATTGCTCGAGTTATATTATGTTGAGAATTAAATTACCATTTTAATTTTATATACTTTACTATTTTCAATATGTTGGTAGTGGTATATATTTCGATATTAAAATTATTAAGGTTCATTAGTTAGTTATATATATCATAGATTTTCAACCTCCATGAAGTCAAATTAACCACAATTTTGTAAATCACAACTTTTAAAAGATCTCAATTTTTAAAACCACACCTCTTCAAATCCCTGAATTTTTTTTTTTTTTTTGATACACCTGTTAAATCCCTCCAATTTTTAAACCATAATGATTCGTGAAACAGTTTTTCCATTCAAAGGGGCTCAATGGAAACTAACAAATAGAATTGCAATCATCTTCCAAAAACAAGATTTCAAAATCTTATATCTTTCTTGAAGACCATCAATAATAATCGAAGATCCTACTAACTCTGGAAAGGAAAACCAACAAGAACGTAACGTCATATAAAAATGTAAGTCATACCAACTTGTCATTTTGAAAATTCAATTTTGTTTTTATAATTTTTATAATTTGTCTTTTTAATTTATTTTTCCTTCTAATTCATACAACAACGTCATGTTTATAACTCAAATTTGACCAAACAACTTTACATATTAACTACAAAAATCATGACTTTCACAGTGTTGTTAATTTCAAACATGTTGTTAAAATAACTTTTCTAATGGTACTTCTTTTCAAAATTTATAATAATACGTATATGATTTATTTTTTTATAAAATTGGGAATGATAAAAATTTTATGGTATCATTATTTTAAAAAAGAATAATTTAGAGCCTTTACCTTATTTGAATGGACATATTATGGATAAAATATTATTAAAAAATTTGAAGTATAATAGATAATAATTTAATGAATAAGAAGTATATCCGTATCTTAAAAGTTTTTAGAGAAATAAGAGGCAAATTTGTTTCAAAAACTGAAAAAAAAATTGAAAAAAAAATTAGATTAGAATTTAGGATTTATGGAGCGAATTCAAATTTGTTTAGTCTTTCATTTAATAACTATTTTTCACATGAATTTTTTCTATTAACTTTTTACGTGTACAAAGTTTTGTGTTTGAATTAATAAAAATAAATATTACTCCATCTGTGTACAAAATAAATTATATATTAAATAATTACCCAATCTATAGTATTAAATTTAAAATAACTCACATGTTAAAAAGCCAATGTAATAATAGTCCAATTATTATGCAATTTTTTTTCTTTACAAATCCTTTATTTTTCTTTCCAACATTTTTATTTTCTAAAAATTCTAACTTTTTTTCTTGCAGTCGTGCAGTATATTACTCTTTTAAAATGAAGAGTAATCCAAGTTTTAGTATCAACTATGAACATAAAGAAAATTCTTCAAGAAAAGGTATGATATATATATATATATATGAAAAGTTGGCTTACGTCTGAGAACATATTGTTAAAACATTAGCTTACATTTGCTAACATATGAATATTATTTCTTCTATAGAGAAACGAAAAAGAAGTGCAAATGAAAGAAAAAGGAAAAAATATGCAGTGTGTCAATTGAGGGACACAGAGAAAAAATTCAAAAATCAGCCAATATAAAGAAAATTGCTTTAGCAAAACTGGATTTTCAAAATAAAGATTCGGAAATTAGAAATATACCAAACAGAGGTCATCTAGAAAAACCATAAAAAATAGGTATGATTTTCAACTTTTACATATATTTTATTTTATAGTTTTTATATTTCTATTTATATTACATGTAATTTAAACTATCATGTTTCATATTTTAAATAGGTTTTACTTCAAATAATAAAGACATACTCATTCATGAATTGAAAAAGGTGTCACCATGTACCTATTGTAATGAAAAAAGGTTTCAATACGAAACACCAACATTCTGCTGTTATAATGGATAAATTCAACTTTCTTCAGCAGACATTCCAGATGAATTGCTGAATTTATTTTTGTCGGTAGATGATGATGGAATCATGTTTAGAAAGAATATTAGAATATACAATAGTATTCTTTCTTTCACTTCATTTGGTGTAAAATTGGACAAAAATTTGGCTAGATCAAGAAAAGGTGTATACACATTTAGAGCCCAACGACAAATATATCATGATCTACCAGCTTTACTCCTAGACGACCAAGATACTTTCAATTATATTTTTATGACACTGACAATGAGATTCAAAATAGAATAAATGTGATGCAACATAGAGGTATTAGTGACCGTTTAGTACAAAAGTTGATGAAAATACTACAGTGCAATCCCTACGCACAAGTATTTCGATCATTGAAGGAGTTGGACAATTTTCAAGATATTCATATACAAATTGCAAGAAATGTGAAAGTTGATTAGCGAGTCTATAACATGCCGACCGTAAATCAAGTAGCTGCTATATGGATTGAGGGAAATCAAGATTCTACATCATTTGAAAGAAACATTGTCATCCATGCCCATTCAGGAAATCGTCATAGGATTAAACACTATTTTAGTTTTTATGACTCCCTACAATATCCATTATTATTTCCAAAAGGAGAACCAGGATGGCACCAAGAAATTAAGAGATCTAACATAACAAACGAGAATGAGATGACATCATCTATAAATGGTCAAACTCAACAAAATTGTAGATTCGAGATAGTAGAAGAAATCATTCTAAAGGAACGTCAAGGTAACATATTTTACATATTTCCAGGGAGCTATAGGATTGGTTTTTTTGGGGGATAAGCTTGCTCATATTCCATAATTTTTCTGAATTTTTTTGACATATTTTAAAATTTATGTATAGGTTTATCAAAAAAACAAAATGGAAGAATTTCGTGTAGAGAATATTATTGTTTCAAGTTTCAGATTAGACAACCCACAAAATCCATTCTTCTTTCAGCAGGACGATTGTTTCAACAGTTTGTTGTTGATATGTATATAAAACTTGAGACAACAAGGCTAGATTTTTTTAGAACACAACAATCTCAAATAAGATCTGAGTTATACGATAAGGTTGGAAAACGAGTAGTACTCCCTGGCTCTTTTGTTGGAGGCCCGAGAGATATGCGACGTAGATATTTAGATGCAATGACATTAGTACAACGATTTGGAAAGCCAGATCTTTTTATTACTATGACATGCAATCCTGAGTGGAAAGAAATTAAGGAGGAACTTTTAGACGGACAACAACCACAAGATAGAGTTGATCTTACTTTTCGAATTTTTCGAGCTAAGTTACAAGATCTTAAAGACCAGCTGTTTAAAAAAGAAGTTTTCAGAAAGGTTGGAGCTTATGTATATGTTATTGAATTCCAAAAGAGGGGGTGCCACACGATCACATTTTGATTATTTTTAACAGTGGGTATAAAATAACAAATGGAGATCAATATGATACTTCCGTTTCAGCTGAAATTCCTGATAAGGTGGCAAATCCACTCCTTCATGGTTTGGTTTTCAAACATATGATACATGGATCATGTGGAGAATTAAAAAGAAGCAACCCATGTATGGTTAATGGAATATGCAGATTCCACCATCCTAGGCCATATTCTTCTCACACTCTACAAAGAAAGGATTCATATCCAATATATCGGAGAACAAATGATGGAACACAGGTACGCCGTTAATACAGAATTTACAAATTCTATGTATGATATTGCAATTTTCTTTTTAATTTCATAATCATTAAAATAGTTTGAATATTATATTTTTATTTGCAGATATGCATTAGAAATGTCATGCTAAATAATTCAAGCGATACAACTGTCACATAAATGTTGAAATTTGTTCTGCAATGAAGGCAGTTAAATATTTGTACAAATATATATATAAAGGTCATGATAGAGTAGCGGTTTCAATAGTAAATGATGATGAAAATATTATTGTAAATGAGATTTAGAACTTTCAAGATGCTAGGTGGGTTTCTGCACCAGAAGCATTATGGAGAATTTTTTATTTTAGGTTGAATGAAATATCTCGTTCAGTTATAAATCTGCAATTACATCTTCCTAATCAACAATTGGTTTCTTATTGGGAGAACCAAAATCTAAATAGACTCATTGGATTAGAATGTGTATCTAGAACTATGTTGACAAAGTTTTTTAATACATGCCAAAAAGACGAAGATGCGAGAAAACTATTGTACAAAGATTTTCCAGAATATTATGTTTGGGATAAAAGAATGAAAGAATGGTCACCACGAAAAAAAGGTCATGTTATAGCAAGAATAAATGGAGTGAATCCAACTGAGGGAGAAAGATATTATTTAAGGCTCTTATTGAATAATGTTATAGGTCCAACATCTTTTAATGATTTGTTGACTGCTGATGGGAAAAGATATTGTACATTTAAAGAAGCAGCGCAAATAAGAGGATTACTTGAATCTGATGAAAGTTCGATAGAGTGTTTGAAGGAGGCTGCAATAAGTGAAATGTCGTATGCATTTCGAAGACTATTTGCTACTTTGTTGGTGTACTGTGAACCTACAGAAGTTAGAAAATTATGGAATCTTAATTTAGAAGCCATGACAGAAGACTATAGTCACTCAAATGATTTATCAAATGAGCAAAAAGTTCAGTTGGTTCTGAAAGACATAAACTACTTTATCCAATCCATGGGGAAAAATATTGCACAATTTGATCTCCCTCCAATTCATAAAGAAAACTCTAATGATGACTTGATTTCTATGAGAGATATAAAGGATGAAGAATACATTAAAATAGATGAGGAAGATGTTCGAGCATCAACAAAATTAAATGACGAACAAAAAGTTGCATATGATATTATTATGGAAAGAGTTACTAGCAATAAAAGTTGACTTTTTTTTATCGATGGACCTGGAAGAACTGGGAAAACATTTTTGTATCGATCACTTTTATCTACAGTTAGATCAAATGGAATGATAGCTTTGGCAACAACAACATCAGGTGTATCGGCATCACTTTTACCTGGGGGTCGAACAGCACATTCTAGATTCAATATTCCTTTGCAAGCTACTGATTCAACGATGTGCAATATATCAAAACAAAGTGTTAGATTAGAACTACTCCAGAAAGCAAGACTTATAATATGGGATGAGGCACCTATGGCAAAAAGATATACAATTGAATCTCTGGATCGATCATTCAGAGATATAATGGATTGTCCTCAACCATTTGGAGGAAAGATAATTATTTTTGGAGGAGATTTTCGTCAAGTACTTCCAGTACTTCCAAAAGGGACAAGACAACAAACTGTTGCAATTGGTAAAATGCATCAGTTGCAATTGGTAAAATGCATCAGTTGCAACTGAAAGAGAATATGAGGGTACATAATGATAAAGCATTTGCATATTTTATCTTGAGAATTTGAAATGGAGAAGAATATGCTTTTAATGATGATATCATTACTTTGCCTCAAGAAATTGCAATAATGAATTCTGCAATTAACATGGAGATGGAATTTGTAAAAAAGATGTATCCAGATCTACAACTTCATTCTACATCAATGGAATACATGACACATAGAGTGATTTTGGCTACAACAAATGTTCATGTTGATTATTTGAATGAGCTTTTGATAAATATTTCCAGGAGAGGTTACAACTTTCAAAAGCTTTGACGAGGCAATGGACGATACAAATGCTTACTACCAGGAAGAATTTTTAAATTCTTTACTACCAAATGGAATACCTCCGCACAAACTTACATTAAAGGTTAATTGTCCTATTATGTTATTGAGAAATTTAGACTGATCAAATGGATTGTGCAATGGAACGAGAATGGTATGTCAATCATTTGGGAGAAATATTATACATGTCGAAGTAGCAATGGGACAACATGCAGGGAAACAAGTCTTCATCACACGAATTCCATTAAGTCCACCTAATGATGAAGGGTATCCATTCAAATTTAAAAGGAAGCAATTTCCTGTACGATTTTGTTTTGCCATGAAGATTAACAAAACACAAGGACAAACAGTTCCAAATGTAGGAATATACCTTCCTCAACATGGATTTTCTCATGGGCAACTCTATGTTGCATTATCAAGAGGAGTATCAATGTCAACAACAAAAGTTCTTATTAAATCACCCGAAGATCAAAGTCGTCCCTACAGACATACAAAAAACGTTGTTTATAAAGAGATCCTTCTTTAGTCAAGGTTTGATTTATTATATACTTCTTTTTAAAAAAAAAAATTAACTTATTGAATTATTATTAAATATATTTCTTTCATTTTCTTCAGAAATCAAACTATTCACAAAATATCGAACAATTATCTATGAGGTAACAAATTTACTTCACAACTTTCATTTGATTGCATTATATGTAATTAAATTTAAATTATATATATATTCTCCATCATTTTATTTTTTTTTGTTTGTTTCTTTTTAAATTCATGTCAAAATATTAAATATCTAAATTCAATGAAAAGTATCTTAGAATTTCATTAAAAAAAATTATGTTCCAAAAATTTTAAACAACGTGCAAACGCACGTGATTTTAACTAGTTATATTAAATTGTGTCATACACAATTAAATCAAATTCCCTTTAATTAAATTTGAACAATTCAAATCCCTTCCAAGATTTAATGTTCTTAATTACCCTTTACGAGCTAGCAAGGGGACCTAATAGACCTATAGATCAGAAGCTCCAACGTTACGAGATTAATTGGTTAAACTCATTAACCACTTTAATCAACATATGTTAAATGCATGTTACTCCACTAAAAACCTGCAGCTGCACTCTTCTCACTATACAATATTTATGTGTCCATGGATCTTGACCATTAACAGCAAGTCAATCCTTCACGAGTGTTCATAATCACAGATGGGTCAAATTACCGTTTTACCCCTATGGTACATCTTGTACCCTAAGTATCGTTGATCCCCTAATGAACAATCTGGTTCTAGTCCGACCAATAACCAGAAGTTCCTCTAGGGCTAGTAAGAAGGTGGGCCCCTTGTTAAAGTCCCGGAGTCAGCACTTATGTAACGCCCGACAAGAATGATCCTGAGACCATAGAAAGTATGGTTAAGAAAGCTTAAAAGAAATGATAGACTACCTATACCAACAAGGTGCACCTTCCTTTTCGGTAACTCAATCGTAAGAACTCCAAAGTTAAGCGTGCTTGACCTGGAGAAATCAAATATATACCAAGTATATATACCGTCTCGGTTACATGGTAACAACCTTGGATGTTAAGTTTATTCGATTTCGACAATGCAATAATGCAAATTCAACAACAAATTGATTGAAGAAGAAAAGCAAAACTTTATTGAATATAAATTTGTTTTTACGTAATTACGAACTACGAGTTTAGGGCAACGCACCCAAAAAACTAAACTTATCGCTTTGCTTGCCACCGAAAAACTTAATGGCAAAAATTACACACAATGGAAATGAACTTGAACACAATACTTGTGGTAGATGATCTTAGGTTCATCTTAACTAAGGAGTGTCCTAAGGCTTCCGCGCCTAATGCATCCCAAGCGAGTCGGGATGCCTATGACAGATGGATCAAGGCTAATGACAAGGCAAAAGTCTACATCTTGGCAAGCATGTCTGATGTGTTGGCCAAGAAGCATGAGAGCATGGTCACCGCACGGGAGATTATTGACTCATTGCGGGACATTTTTGGACAATCGTCCATTCAAGCCCAGCACGATGCCCTCATGTTCATTTACAATTCCCGCATGAAATAGGGAACATCAGTGCGAGAACATGTTCTCAATATGATGGTCTATTTTAATATGGCTGAAGTGAACGGGGATGTCATAAATGATGGGAGCCAAGTCAGCTTTATCTAGGAATCTCTTTCGAAGAGTTTCCTAAAGTTCCGCAACAATATTGTGATGAACAAGATAGAGTACAACCTTACCACGCTCTTGAATGAGCTACAGATTTTTCAGTCTCTTATGAGAAATAAGGGACAGGAAGGGGAGACAAACGTTGCCACCTCAAAATTGTTCCATTGAGGTTCAACCCCAGGAACCAAATTTGTGCATTCTTCTTCTGGAAGTAAGACTTTCAAGGAAAAGAATAATAGTGGTAAATGTACTACATCTAACCTTACTGCTCCTGCTGCCAAGAAGGACAATGTCAAATTTGCACACAAAAGAAAATGTTTCCACTGCAACGTGGATGGACACTGGAAAAGAAATTGTCGACATACTTGACTGAAAAGAAGAACACCAAAGAAGGTAAATATAATTTACTTATTCTTGAAACTTGCTTAGTGGAGAATGATTAAGAAAATACTTATCTTTAGCACTTTAGAATAGGTCACAAAAATCTCAATAGATTTGGGAGATTGGTTAAGAGTGAACTTTTAAGTGAGTTGGAATATGACTCCTTACCTCCATGTCAATCTTGTCTTGAAGGCAAGATGACTAAAAGATCTTTTACTGGAAAAGGTTACAGAGCCAAAGAACCCTAATAGCTTGTACATTCAGACCTTTTTGGTCCGATGAATGTTAAAGTAGGGGAAGGTATGAGTATTTCATCTCTTTCATAGATGATTATTCAAGGTATGGATCTCTCTACTTAATGCAACATAAGCTTGAAACCCTTGAAAAGTTTAAGGAGTACAATACTGAAATTGAGAACTAATTACGTAAGACGATAAAGACACTTCGATCTGATCGGAGTGGAGAGTATATAGATTTAAAATTTCAGAACTATATGATAGATTAAGAAATTACATCCCAACTCTGAACACCTAGTACACCTCAATAGAATGATGTATTGGAAAAAAGAAATAGAACCCTGCTAGACATGGTTCGATCTATGATGAGCTATGCTCTTTTACCTGCCTCATTTTGGGGTTATGTAGTGAACACAGTTCCATCAAAAAATGTTTCTGAAACACTTTTTGGACTATGGAGAGGACATAAGACTAGTTTAACGTCACTTCAAAATTTGGGGATGTCCAACACATGTGTTACTAACAAACTCTAAGAAACTGGAATCTAGTTCAAAAGTGTGCCTATTCGTAGGTTACCCCAAGGAAACGAGAGGTGAACTCTTCTTCGATCCAAAAGAAAATAGATTGTTTGTATCGACGAATGCTACATTCTTGGAAGAAGACCATATGAGAGATCATAAACCACGAAGTAAGGTTGTGTTAAATGAGATTTCCGATGAAGCTACAAATACATCAACAAGAGTTGTTGATAAAGCTAGTACTTCAACAAGAGTTGTTGATGGCACTAGTACACGTCAGTCACATCCATCTCAAGAGTTGATAATCCCTCGACGTAGTGGGAGGATTGTATCACAACCTGATCATTACATAGGTTTAACTGAACCCAGGTTGTTATACCCGATGATCGCATTGAGGATCCATGGACCTAAAAAAATGCAATGGAAGATGTTGATAAAGACAAATGGGTCAAAGCTATGGATCTGAAAATGCAGTCTATGTACTTCAATTCCGTCAGGGACCTTGTAGATCAACCTGATGGGGTAAAACCTATAGGTTGTAAATGTATCTACAAGAGAAAACGAGATGCCGAAGGAAAGGTACAAACCTTTAAGGCTAGACTTGTGGTAAAGGGTTACACCCAAAGGGAATGGGTGGATTATAAGGAAACCTTCTCCCCAATTGTCATGCTAAAGTCTATAAGAATACGCTTATCCATTGCCACATTTTATAACTATGAAATTTGGCAAATGGATATCAAGAGAGTATTTATATGTCTCAACCAGAAAGGTTCATTAAACAAGGTCAAGAGCAAAAGGTTTGCAAGCTTAAACGATCAATTTATGGATTAAAACTGGCATCTCGATCTTGGAATATAAGATTTGATACTGCAATCAAGTCTTATGGTTTTGACCAGAACGTTGATGAGCCTTGTGTATATAAGAAGATCATCAACAACACTGTAGTTTTGTTAGTGATGTACGTGGATGATATCCTACTCATTGGGAATGATGTGAGGAGTGATAAGTTGGTTAAGATGTGGGGAGTTACCCCACGTCATCCAAGTTTTCTATTTTGCATTTTTTATACAAAAACAGAGACATTTTTCTTCCCCTAGCATTTGCTCTCTCTTTCTTTTTTATCTCTCTAAAAAACAAGTTGAAAGAATTCCCTTTGATTTTCATAAACTGGTGCTCCCACATGTAACGCCCCAGGATTTTCAATATTTCCAAACGGGGACCGTTGATAAAACTACCTAAAAATTCCACTAAAGCAAGAGAATGAACTTCAACAACAAGACTAAACAATAAAACCACCATGCTTCCTCTGAGCTACTCTAATTTCAACCCTCACGAGAGCTTGAACAAACAAAACAACAACACTAAAGATTTAACAAAAAACTCAAATCCTTATAGACGAACCATTTAATACCAAATTCACCTTATCCAAACTTCTCAAAGAAACCTTTACAAACCATAAACCATCCACTAAACAAATATTAACATCTCGGATGACAATAGTTATTCCTAATAGATTACAACCCCGCAGTTCGAAAAGTTAAACAAAACTGATGACCTCAAAGAGTAATTAACTGACAATCTTAAAGCATCCTTTCAACCAGAAAACTAAACAGAACCAACTACTAACAACTCAACTACAAGATGTAATAACTGCAACTATTCTAACTAAAAGAAAATAAATGCGAACAACACAGCTAATGGTCTTTCCGATCAAGTCTCCTCCTCGCCATCACCATTCCCAAGCGGTATCTCATTACCTACAAAATCTGGAGGGGAAAAAGAAGGGATGAGTACACCCACAGTACCCAGTAAGCAGCCCTTACCTAAAGGGTCACGCACAAACAACATGTTTATCACATAAAGTTCAAGCGACATGCATAACAAATAATCATGCTTTACATAATAGAGATATATACATCACTAAACATGCAACCTACATGCCAAACCGAACCTCGCACCTCAATTCACTAGCTTGTTTTCCTGTTTCTCAAAGACTTACTACTTCGAGTCGTATCGACCCCTGACCTTTGTACGCAGGGCCTCGACACTTCTCTACACTACTTCATGTTCGACCCTTGACCTTTGTACCCAAGACCTCGAACTGTTGCGCCGACCCCTGACTACGCATAACCAAGGTATCAACACTTCTCTAAACTCATTAGTTCTCTTTCCTGATCCTCCAAGATTTATCCCTTCGAGTCGTATCGACCCCTTACCTTTGCACCCAGGGCCTCGACACTTCTCTATGGCATTTGGCGTTCGATTCCTTGAACTTTGTACCCAAGTCCTCGAACTGTTGCATCAACCTTTGACCATCTATTCAAGGCCTCAATGACTTTGCAACGTATTGGTCCTTGTCCTTTCCACTCAAGGCCACAATACTTGTTTTCCCTCTAAGACTCATCGCATTAACCCTCGACCTTAGTACCCAAAGTCTCGACACTCATCTTTGTCCACAGGTTGGCATATCGGACCCTGACCATTGTACTCGATGCGTCGATACCCAACTAGTGACGTATCAGCCCTCTAGACCTGATACTTACCCATTCACTTCATAACAGAGTCAAACTCTCACCAGAGTCCTACTACTTGCTTTCTAAGCCATGACCCATGCATCATTCAGCTCACAAATACAATTCAGCATGCTTCCACAACAAGAAAAACATGCTAACAACGAAACAATATGCCAATCATTCTTTCACAATATATCAATTCTCACAACAACTCAGTATGCTTTTATGAACACGACATTACACTAAGACGACTATCAATAATCCATAAATACATCAAACACACCAAAAGTAAGTTAATAATGCCAATATGTTATCCGAACATAATAATTCTTAACAACAGCTTCACAGTGAGTCATAACAGAGCATAGTCAAACAAATTTTAAACAATTAGAGCCCAGCACAGTTCATCCAGAGCACTTAATATCCAACATTCGTAGAAAAACATCCAGCATCAATATTCAATAAGCATTACTAGATATAATAAAATTCATAAAACACGCCAAACAATTCATGCATATTCAAACAACAAACATCCCCACAAATAAGAACTACTTACAACAAAGTCCTAATGCGCAACTAAGCTTGCCGAACGGTTCCTAAATCCAAAAGCAACCAAACTTGGGTTAGTGTTACTTTTAGAAACACTTAATTTGCATTGAAACTAAGTTTGGGTGATCGTTACCTACAAACCCACACCGAATCACTTGGGTTAGGAGTGGGTCACTTCCGAATAGGTTCTACACGATAGAAACACGCCGAACTGGTTCGGGCTTGCTGGTACAACGCTGAAATGGGGTGGGTAACATTAGTTTGGGTCCGAATAGGGGTGGGTCAACACCAAACGTCATCAGAATGAATGAAACATCACGAAACTCGCTCCCCGACATAGATTTGGACTGTTCAGGTTCGTCTAAGCGCTGCGTCACAGGCCATTGCTGGAGAGGAAGTGCACTGGAGCGGG